TTAATATAATGATTAAATTAAAGCTAAAATATGATATTTTATGATGGGATTAAAAAATAAAGAAAATGTGTTAAGAAAAAAAATCTTGAATGAAAGAATTTTATTTCAGGTTATGTTGAAATGTCAAGATGGGGAAATTTCAAAAAATCATTTCAACTTTAATTTTGGGTGTTAAACGGCGATATATAACTTAAATTAAAGCTAAGAGGGTTTATTTTATGATGTTATATGCAAAAGGTGGTTTGATAATAAAAATTTCCAAAAAAAAAATATTAAGAATAAAGTTGACAGGTAAGGTTATTTTTTTTGTCAAAAATTAAATAAAAAAATTCTATTTTACTTTTAAATTTAATGTAATGATTAAATTAAAGCTAAAATATGATATTTTATGATGGGATTAAAAAATAAAGAAAATGTGTTAAGAAAAAAATCTTGAATGAAAGAATTCTATTTCAGGTTATGTTGAAATGTCAAAATGGGGAAATTTCAACTTTAATTTTGGGTGTTAAGCGGCGATATATAACTTAAATTAAAGCTAAGAGGGTTTATTTTATGATGTTATATGCAAAAGATGTGGTTTGATAATAAAAATTTCCAGAAAAAAAATATTAAGAATAAAGTTGACAGGTAAGGTTATTTTTGTTTGTCAAAAATTAAAAAAAAATATTTCTATTTTACTTTTAAATTTAATATAATGATTAAATTAAAGCTAAAATATGATATTTTATGATGGGATTAAAAAATAAAGAAAATGTGTTAAGAAAAAAAATCTTGAATGAAAAAATTCTATTTCAGGTTATGTTGAAATGTCAAAATGGGGAAATTTCAAAAAATCATTTCTACTTTAATTTTGGGTGTTAAACGGCGATATATAACTTAAATTAAAGCTAAGAGGGTTTATTTTATGATGTTATATGCAAAAGTGTGGTTTGATTATAAAAATTTCCAGAAAAAAAATATTAAGAATAAAGTTGACAGGTAAGGTTATTTTTGTTTGTCAAAAATTAAAAAAAAATATTTCTATTTTACTTTTAAATTTAATATAATGATTAAATTAAAGCTAAAATATGATATTTTATGATGGGATTAAAAAATAAAGAAAATGTGTTAAGAAAAAAAATCTTGAATGAAAAAATTCTATTTCAGGTTATGTTGAAATGTCAAAATGGGGAAATTTCAAAAAATCATTTCTACTTTAATTTTGGGTGTTAAGCGGCGATATATAACTTAAATTAAAGCTAAGAGGGTTTATTTTATGATGTTATATGCAAAAGATGTGGTTTGATAATAAAAATTTCCAGAAAAAAAATATTAAGAATAAAGTTGACAGGTAAGGTTATTTATGTGTCAAAATTCATTTTAGGTTATGTTATAAATTGTAGGACTTTTATTTAATAAAGTACAATTAAATAAAACACCTTCACCACAACGTCTCTTCCTATGTTTCCCCTTTCTGGGTGTTGTCTTGTGTTTTCCTTGAATCTAGTCATAAAGAGTAGAGGGGGTCGCTACAATATCAAAATTAATATTACAGACTAAATATAAATGCAAGTTGTTATAAAAAAGATTACCAATATTAATCAAGATGAAAGTTCATAAATTTCTCATCTTTTTGCGTCCAAACTTTAAAAACATCACACTTTAACTGACACCAAGCACTTTGATAAAGAAAAGATTTCTTTTTCGCTTCCCCATAACTCAAATCTTTAATAAATCCCTCCAATTGAATCATTTCTGCAACGTTTAAGAAATTCCTGAATAATTCAACCTTCGAAATTTGTAATCGAGAAGCTTTTGTACCAATTTTCTTCTTTGTTACACCCTGCTTAATACCTTCAATAGCAACTTCCGGTTTTCTAAAAGCAATTAATCCCAAATCATTTAAATCAAGACATTTTTGTTAACCTACATCATAAATTTATTCCAAGAAATGGAACTTGGGCAAAGTTGATTTTTTTCTTCGCATTTTTTAAACTCAAATTCTTCGTTTGATTGATAAATAATTAAGTTGTGTTTAAAATAATGATTGCAATGATTAAATTCGGTGTGGAATCGTGCGTTAAAAGCTCGATTTAAAGATTCTTTATTAAAAGGAATGTTTCCTGATAAGGTTATGGTGCTTAAATAAATAGGGTTTTTTAATAAAATAGAAAGAAGTGCTCCTTGTATTCCAATATAACACCATTTTAAGATTTTATCACTGCATGATATTGATAAAGTGGGATCACCTCGCCCTAAAATAAAATTTTAATTAAAAATTAATTAATTAAAACAATTTTTAACCTGGTTTAGTTCTTATTAAACCAATTTTGTGGTATAAATCCCCTTGTAAGTGTAGATCTTGTTCTTTAGAATTTTTTAAACATTTCGCCCCTGTTCTATAAATATCAAGTTTTCTTTTTTTGGTTGGAACGTCTTCGTTTTCTTCAATTTTTAGGGGGTCACCGAAATTATCTTGATTTTTAGGAAAAATGGACGCATCCCCACACGGGATATGAGTTGTAAAAAAATGAAATTTCACTTTATTATTAATCTCGAACTTTGAATCATTCACATTAAAAATCGATTCTTTTTTATTTAAACAACCTTTAATTTCTGAGTAAATATACAAAAGAAATGATCTCCTACATATAATTTCAGCATGTGAGTCATTTAATATATCACCTTTCAGAGACATTTTATTTTGACCAATACACTTTGTTCCAGTACCTAAAGCAACAACTTCAAATTTATTTAAATCTTGAGTTTCTTGGATTATTGTTGATAAAATTGTGCATTCGTTTTTGTTTGGTTTTCCGGTTTTGGGTAATTTATTGAATTGTTCGAAAGAAATTTTAGAAATTTTGTTACAAAAATCCATATTTATTTATCTTAATTAAGCAACATCGGTGGGATCCCAAGCAAACTTAGTCATAGTCCCGATATTATTCAATTTATCCAAATCTTTCTCTGGGATTTCAAAATCCAAATTAATATTTTCTTCAATATGACTTTTTGAACGAGCCTTTGGAATTATCCCAACACCTTGTTGCACCGCCCATTTAAGCAAAACTTGCGATGGGGATTTATTTAAATTCTTCGCAATTTCAACCACAACCTCATTCGTCATCAAATCCGGATTATTCGTTCCTCCAAGTGAAGAATAGGCTTGAAGTAAAATTCCTTTTTGTTTGCAATAATTTTTTAAATCGCTTTGATGGTAAAAAGGGTGCCACTCAACCTAATTTAACAAATAAAATAAATTAAAATAAAATTTTTATTTTTTGAGGTTACGTATTTCATTTTTTGAGGTTATGTATTTCATTTTTTGAGGTTATGTATTTTATTTACCTGATTAACAGCAGGAATTTCAGAATTACTTTTATCCAACTCCTCCAAATGTTTAATAGTGTAATTAGAAACTCCAATATCTTTAACTAATCCTTGTTTTTTCGCTTCAATTAATTTCTCCCAAGTTTTAGCTCTAATCGCTATATTGCTTGGATCATGAATACTAAGTCGAGATTGACCCGGCCAATGAACCAAGTACAGATCTAAATACCCACAATCTAAATTTTTCAAAGATTGTTTAACTGCATCTAAAGCTTTTTCACCATGATCACTCGGAGCTACTCAAAACAAATTGTTTGTTAATTATTAAAGTCAAAAATTGCAATATTTTCTTACAAAGTTTAGTTGTTATAAAAATATCTTCTCTTTTAAGGTTATATTTAGGTAAAAGAGTCTTTAAGGCACTTCCAATATCGGTTTCGTTCCCATAAACAGCTGCTGTATCTAAAAAAATTGTGACATAACCTCAAAAAATTGCCAAAAATCTTATTTATTTACCGATAGATCTATATCCAGCGCCTAAAGCGTAATCTAAAACGTCTCTAATTAACGATGTGCCTCGAATTTGATAAGTTCCAACTAAATAAGAAAGAATTAATTTTAAGTTAAATAAATTAATTGAAAAAGGTTTAACTTACAGCCTACGATTGGCATTTTTCTGCCACTTTTTAAAGTTGCTTTTAACGTTTTAGTTTCCATTTGAGATTATATTTAATTATTTATGTATTAACAATAAGAATATTAACAATTTAAGTTCAATAACAAAGTGAACAATAAAATTGTATGTTACTAAAATTCTTTTATATGGTAATTACAATAACAAATGTGTGCTAAATAAATAAATAAACCGAGANAACTTTGAATCATTCACATTAAAAATCGATTCTTTTTTATTTAAACAACCTTTAATTTCTGAGTAAATATACAAAAGAAATGATCTCCTACATATAATTTCAGCATGTGAGTCATTTAATATATCACCTTTCAGAGACATTTTATTTTGACCAATACACTTTGTTCCAGTACCTAAAGCAACAACTTCAAATTTATTTAAATCTTGAGTTTCTTGGATTATTGTTGATAAAATTGTGCATTCGTTTTTATTTGGTTTTCCGGTTTTGGGTAATTTATTGAATTGTTCGAAAGAAATTTTAGAAATTTTGTTACAAAAATCCATATTTATTTATCTTAATTAAGCAACATCGGTGGGATCCCAAGCAAACTTAGTCATAGTCCCGATATTATTCAATTTATCCAAATCTTTCTCTGGGATTTCAAAATCCAAATTAATATTTTCTTCAATATGACTTTTTGACCGAGCCTTTGGAATTATGCCAACACCTTGTTGCACCGCCCATTTAAGCAAAACTTGCGATGGGGATTTATTTAAATTCTTTGCAATTTCAACCACAACCTCATTCGTCATTAAATCCGGATTATTCGTTCCTCCAAGTGAAGAATAGGCTTGAAGCAAAATTCCTTTTTGTTTGCAATAATTTTTTAAGTCGCTTTGATGGTAAAAAGGGTGCCACTCAACCTAATTTAAAAAATAAAATAAATTAAAACAAAATTCGCCAATCCTGTAGGGTTGCAATAAAATAATTTTTATATATTGCAAATTATAAAATCACGTTTTGAAGGAGACGTGCAAGATTTAATTGCATCATGAGAATTAAATACATGGGTTGACATAAAGTCATGCCTTGAATTAGCTTATAGTGACCAACAATCAGAAGATTGTTTGCTAACTGACTTAATGAATATTTTGCCTACTACAAACGAAAATCCTTATTCTTTAGGTAATAGAATTAGAAATGTTTTAAATCTCTTGCTGACAAAAGTTAAGTTAACTGTACATCAACTTTCTGATAAACAATTAAAAATCAGTATGTATTAAAAAACTGCATCCCGCAGATTTACAAACTGCTATGCAAAATATTTTAGAAAAACAAAATTTAAATTCTAGTTTAGACCTAGCAAGTGGCTATCATCAAATTGAACTAAAAAAAAAGGTATTTGCAAGACTAAAACAGAATGGAGTTAAGATATCTTTAGACAAGTGTAATTTTTTAAAAAATGAGATCAAGTATTTGGGACACTTAATAACCCAAAAAGGAATAAAACCTGATCCTTCAAAAATCAAAGCAATACAAAAATTTCCTAAAAAGGTTATGGGCCCAGATTCAAAATAAAATAAGAAAATAATAAATTATAAAATGAATTTATTCGGAAAATTAGAATTATTATCGAAGAACAATTATGACACATGGGAAATTCAAATGAAAGCTTAATGATAAAAAAAAAGTGCGGAAAAGTGTAGTACTTACCGAAAAACCTCTTTAAAGTTGCGATTTGACGTTTCTTTTTGGAAGTTAAAAGCAATGTTAAAATTGCATTTTCGTATTAAATTCTAACCTGAAATTGTTTAATTT